TATTGCCTAGTGTGAGGGCAGTCAAATGAATAAGGTGTATAGTACGGATGCAGGTGTATTTGGCCATAATGAAAGTATCAAAGATATAAAAAAAAGTGTATCTATCAAATCACAATCTCTGATGACATCGTCATTCGGGTAGTATACATATTGCCCCTGCAATATGTGATCATTTGTACAATAGAAATGCTCTGCTGATCATGACTCTAACAGAATAAAGAGACCACTTCTAGGGTAGAATTGAAAAAGCAGGGGGGGAGAGAGAGAGAGAGAGAGAGAAATAAAATACAAGGTTAAGAATTCTAATGAGGAAAGAGGAAAACTAGGGTCTGGGCTAGTGGATCACTCCTAGCACTCTGGGAGGCAGAGTGGGGGATTGACTAAACTCACAGGTTTGAGACCAGGCTGAGCAAGAGCAAGACTCTGTCTTGAAAAAAATACCTGACCTTGTAGCAGGCACCTGTAGTCCCTGCTACGTGGGAGGCTAAGCCTACAGAATTGCTTGAGCCCAAGATTTTGAGGTTGCTGTGAGCTATGACCCCAGTGCACTCTATACATAGTGGCAAAGTGAGACTCTATCTCAAAATAAAACTAAACAACAATAACAAATACAGATTAAAACTAAAGATCAAAAAAAAAAGCAGGTTTTATTTTATGTATTTTGAAGTTCTTTCATTAGGTGCACAAATATTTAGAGTTTTGGTATTCATGTTAAATGGATCCTTTAATAATGAAACTTCCCTTCTTATCTCTCTAATCATGCTCTTTTTCTTTTCTTCCTTTTTTTTTTTTTTTTGAGACAGAGTCTTACTATGTTACCCTCAGGAGAGTGCTGTGGTGTCACAGCTCACAGCAACCTCCAGGTTTTGGGCCTAGGCTATTCTCTTGCCTCAGCCTCCTGAGTAGCTGGGACTACAGGTGCCCACCACAATGCTCAGTTATTTTTTGTTGCCATATGGCCGGGGCCAAGTTCGAACCCACCATCCTTGGTATATGGGGCTGACACCCTACTCACTGAGCCACAGGCACTGGCCCATACTCTTTTTCTTAAAGTCATTTTTTTTTTTTACCTTGCATTACCATACACATAACAGATTTTTTTTTTTGAGACCGTCTCACTATGTCACCCTCAGTACAGTGTCACAGCTCAGAGCAGCCTCAAACTCTTTAGCTTAAGAGATTCACTATTGCCTCAGTCTCCCAAGCAGCTGGGACTATAGGTACCCACCACAGCATCTGGCTGTTTTTTTTTGTTGTTGTTGCAGTTGTTATTGTTGTTTAGCCAGCCCGGGCTAGGTTTGAGCTCACCAGCCTTGGTGTATATGCCTGCATTGTAACCACTGTGCTACGGGCGCCAAGCCCATACCACATTTCTTATGCTTACTTGAATCTGCTATGTCTTTTTCCATACTATTAATTTCAACCTAATTGTATTTTTTAATGAAAGTTGTTTTGTCTCATATACATTGAGGCTTCCTATTTTTTTTTCGAGACAGAGTCTCACTGTGTTGCCCTGGGTAGAGTGCCATGGTGTCACAGCTCACAGCAATCTCCAACTCTTGGGTTTAGACGATTCTTTTGCCTCAGCCTCTCAAGTAGTAGGGACTACAGGCATCTGCCACAGTGCCCTGCTATTTTTTGGTTGCAGTTGTTTTAGCTGGTCTGGACCAGGTTCGAACCCACCACCCTTGGTGTATGTGGCTGGCTCTGTAACCACTGTGTTATGGGTGCTGAGCCAAGACTTCCTATTTTTAAAAATCTGAAAACCTCTGCTTTTAATTAAAATGTTTAGGCCTTTTGAAAGTTTAATTCATTATTAATATAATTATTTTTCTTTTTTTTTATTAAATCATAGCAGTGTACATTAATACTATGATGGGGTACAGTGTACTGTTTCTGTATACAATTTTAAATACTTTCATCCAATTGGTTAACATAGCCTTCATGTCTTTTTCTTATTGTGTTAAGACATCTATATTCTACACTTAGAGTGATTCACATGTACCCTTATAGGATGAACCATAGGCGTGATCCCACCAATCACCCTTCCTCCATCCACTCTTCTCCATCCACCCTTCTCCCTCTTCTCCCCTCTCTCTCCCCCTCCCCATATTCCTGGGCTAAAATTGGGTTATAGCTTTCTTATGAAAGCTATAAATTAGTTTTATAGTAGGACTGAGTACATTGGATACTTTTTCTTCCATTCTTGGGATACTTTGCTAAGAAGAATAATTATTTTTCTAATAAACATTCAAAGAATGTACGATCTCTATTTTATTTAAACACTTCAAAATTACAGGAAGAGGGAATAATACCAATTCACTCCACAAGGACAGTGTAGACATTATACCAAAACCAAACCAAGACCTTATGAGAATGAATGAAGAAGTACAGGTCCATATTTTCATGAATAAAGATGCAAAAGTTCTAAGTGAAACAGTGTATAAAAAGCAGGGGCAGGGAGCACATATTATCTCAGTATATGTAGAAAAGTACTTGATAATATTCTGTTATGGTTAATGATAAAAATGCTAATTCTTGGTGAATTAGAAAGAAAAGATATCTTTAATAAGGAGTGTGTTTATAAGCAGCTTCAAGCTGCATAATTCAGAATAGGAAAAAAGTGAAAGTATTCCTTAAAGAATGCGGGGAGGAAAGCCACTCTCCACAGTTTCATTCATTTTGTATTGGAAGTGTTGTGCAATGCAGTAGTGTAAGAACAATAGGAGTATGAAGATTAGAAAGAAGAAATAAAAAAGGTTATTTGCAGATAATAGAATTTCTTATATAGAAAAGTTGAAGAAATTTAAATTATTTTAAAAATCAGAGTTTAGCAAGATGGCAGGAACTGAAATCAGTTGCATTTCTTTATACTAAAAGCAACTAAAATATTTTTTTGATGGGAAGAGTGCTATGTATTAGTTTGTGAGTTTCATTGTTTTGCCTTTACTGATGCACAAAAGGTCATGAAAGTATAACTGAAGGAAATAGGTCAGATGAGCCTGAACATAAGACTGTCTAGCTGCCAGGCTAAAATATATTTTAAAAGAAACTTCATTGATGGCAGTAATGGTGAATATAATGCACCAAGGGATAAATCTAAGTAAAAACATGTGCTCACCTCTGTTGGGAAAAATACAAATGTTTATTAAGAAGTATCAAAAAGGTACAAAAATATAGGATACTAGTGTGCTCAGTGTGGAAGTGGCAGATTTTCTCATCCAAAGACGGCTACAATAATATCTCCTGTCCCATCCACCTTTCTAAAAAGTGTAGGAGGTTTTGATAGGTAGTTCTACCCCATTCAGATGTGGGATTTGTGATTATGACCATGACAAAAAAGACACAATGTAACTTTCAAGGTTGGAGGATAAAAAGCAATAGAGCCTTGTCCTGGTTTCTCATGTAATATAATTTTTTAAGTTGACCATCTTTCCCTTCATTTTACATTTTCCTGTTCTATTTTTACTTGTTTCTTTTTTTCTGCCCACTGTTGTATCCATTGAACGTTTTTTTTATTATTTAATTTAGTTTCGAAACATTCTCACTCATTAGTTGACATCCTTTCCTTCAAAAGACGCTGTCTGGGGCCCTTCTCCAGATTCCGGGCCACCTTTAGTGAGGCTCTTGCACACGATCCAATGCAACACTCGCGATACTGCCCAAATTCCCAGGTCCCGTTCCATCCAACTGCCGTTACCAACTGGTAACAGAAGGTGGCACCATCTTGGCTCTCGCGCAGTTTGGTCTTGACGCATCTCCAGTATTCTGTTTCTGTCCCGTGCCACTTTTAGCATGGTGGAACTTTGAGGATTACAAATTTTCTGCCTCCTTTTCTCTGGTGGAATTTTTCCCTGGTGGAATTTTTCCCTGGATGCTATTGAGAAGGCAAGCATCATCTTAAAGCGCACGACGACGTCTCCCCACTGAGCGCTCCCCAGTTTATAATGAGAGGTCGATTCGTCATTTGAATCATTGCTTATTTGCGGGTAATATGTTCTTATTTCTCTGCTATTATTAGTGGTTATTAAATGCTAACGTTTTTTCATGTCATTAATACCTTCATGTTTCATGTATTTGTTCAATTATAGTATGCTAAAATATTTCAAAGTTTTATAGCTGTTATAACCCAGATTATTAATTTATATAAATAAGCCAATTAATTTATATTAATGAAATAGTTTTAGTGACAAATCCAAGATTATTTGCTATCAATATATGTATTTGAGCCAATTATGTACAAATTAGAACAATTTTGAGCTATGAAAATATTAAAGTTTTATTCTTATAATTGGTGATCTCATGATAATGTTGACCTGGATGAAAAATTGTATAAGAATCTCCCCAAAACTTTCCATAAAGAAAATTCAGTGACACTTGTATTGCCTATGGCAAAAAAAAAAATTTATGTCTACAATAATTATGTACATTCAAGGTTGGCAAAATATCTTATGTTCTTTAATGTATATAAAAATTAAAATCTGAATTGGTAGGGAAACAATTTATCGAACATAAGTGAGAGTAAAAAGAAAATATGCTTATATTACATATGCATAATATGTATATCATAATTACGTGTTTTCAAATAATGAAATTATAGCCTACATAACAAATTATATTAGTAAAAAGCATCAAAGGATAGCTACTAAATGCACTTAATATTTTATGTAATTAAAAATGAGAACATGATGGGAGTTTAAATATTGCTGCCTCTTTTTTTTATTCAGCCTGCTTAGAGACCATCAAAAATTAGCAGTGTTGATAGTGCCTGTGGGTCAGTGGGTAGGGCACTGGCCTATATACTATATACTCAAGGTGGTGGGTTCAAACCCAGCCCCTGCCAAACTGCAACAAAAAGATAGCTAGATGTTTTAGTGGTGGCCTGTAGTCCCAGCTACTGGGGAGGCTGAGGCAAGAGAATTGCCGAAGCCCAAGAGCTGGAGGTTGCTGTGAGCTGTGACGCCATGGTACTCTATTGAGGGCAATAAAGTGAGACTTTGTCTCTAAAAAAAAAAGTGCTAGTGCCAACTATATTGCAAATTGTTATGGTGGGGTATTGGGAGAAGTTTTCAATTAGGAGTATTTGCGCCTCAAATAAACCTCATTGGCTACGATACTGCCACTGCTCAAAGCTAATATTACTGCCTTTATGGAAAGAAATTTGACACCTTCCAGCAAAGTTTTTAATTTGTATTTGTTTTGCATGTTAATGTCACTTGTAGAACTGTATTTGACACAGGTACTTGTGCAAAAATGTATTAATGTATAAAAGACCAAATAATTGTAATATAAATAATAGTGTGTCTGCACTGCATACTGTACAA